AATGGGAAGCATATCTCCAAAGTTTTGGCACTATTTAAAGAAATGCCACAAAAATAAATACAGGAACTAAAGTCCAACTAAAACTATTATTCCTTTAGGATATTCCTTATGTGGCTTTTCTCCTCACCATGAACTCAAAACTATACTGTGTTTGTTTGTTTATTAGAATAAGAGCTAATGCTAGAAAGACAAAAGAGAAAACTGAGGTACATTTCTTCAGAGAACTAAGTGAGCAATAACATAGCAGGTATAGGAGCGAATGGGACAGGAAGGCACTTGCCCCTATAAAAAGGTAAAGGTTCCCTTGCTCGAGAGCCAGTCGAATCCGACTCTAGGGTTGCGGTGCTCATCTCCGTCTCAAAGCCGAAGAGCCAGCGCTGTCCGAAGACGTTTCCGTGGTCATGTGGCCAGCATGACTAAACACCGAGGCGCACGGAAGACTGTTACCTTCCCACTGAAGTGGTACCTATTTATCTACTTGCAATTTCTTGCTTTCGAACTGCTAGGTTGGCAGGAGCTGGAACTAGAGACGGGAGCTCACTCCGTCATGCGGCAACTCGGGTCTCGAACTGCTGAACTACTGACCTTCCACAGCCTGCAGTTCATCGTCTTAACCACTTGAGCCACCGCAGCTCCCTTGCCCCTATACCTAGGCCATAAATAAAAAGGCAAAACTCTCCTGTGGGGACAGTTTTTGTAAACCAATTTTTGGGGCTCGAATTTCAGAACTTTTTGAAGCAGCTGCTGTGGTGATGCAGAACTCATAGGAGGGAATGCACATGGCGGGACTCCACAAAAAGAAAACTATTCTACAAGACAGGGTTTTTTTTCTGGTCATGGCAAAGGGAAGAGGGATAGAATGTGAAGTCATGAGGCTTGTTTACAAATTTATGTCATGAATTTTTATCCCATCTATCTCCACAAAGGTTACGTTCATAATCCCCTCCTCTATTATATCCTTACATCAATCCTTGAAGTATATTGGACTGAGGGAGAGTGATTTGGCATGTTCAGAGTCACCCACAGTGCAATCCTAAACACAGCTACACCCTTGTAAGCCCACTGGCTTCTATAGACTTAGAAGGGTGCTCCTCTGTTTAGGATTGCACTGCCAGTAGGTCTCATAGCTAGTGGGGATTTGAACCTGGGTCTCGTTGTCTGAGTCTGACATTCTGACCACTGAGAAGAAAAACATGAACCATCTTAGCAACATAGCTGCCTTTGGGGATGTAGCAGAATCTGCTTGATCTTACTTTATGCTCACTTTGGAAGTACCATAAATATATATGATATTTAATAACACCATCGCAAACTCATTTAAAGGGAAGGAACAGAAAGTAAAATGCTTTTTGTCAGAGCCTACAACACAGATATAATATAGAGGTAACAAATGGGTCAGAACAACAGGTAAAAAGAAAATCTGGAAGTTCAAAAAAAGTGTAACAGTAGGAAAAAGGGTTAGTTATTTTAACAACAACATATTCATTGTTTTAGTGTTAGCATTTCCCCACTGAATGCTATAGAATAAAAAAAGCTTAATTTTCAGAAATCTGATGCCCAGGATTCATGCAAAATCGCTTTACATGCATTTGCATGCCTTTTATAAATATGCAATTAACACAGCAGTGCTTGTTAATTTGTCATTTCTATGCGGACATGGACATTTCAGCCTATGTGCTTGTACAGTCGTCCAATCTGCACGTACAGCTGTATTAAATGGGCATGCAAAGAAGCCATGCACATCTTTTTAAGCATGTGCTTTGCATCTCATCTTTCTGAAAAAGCCTTTAATTGCAGTCTTGGACACTGAATCCCCATAACAATGATGCAGGAAGGGTCATTTTTCATTTGTACAGTGTCCTCCCCCAAAGAGAAGCCTAAAATTACCAATTCTGGTTCTTTAATATATTTATTTTAGAAAAAATACTGTGGTAAAAAATACACCAGTAAAGAAGGGCTGCTTGTCATAAGAAAGTTCAGAATGCTGAATCTGGCAAAGTTTCCTCATAATTTATGCTAACCAATGTGTGTAAAAAAAAAGTACAAATTTTACTTTTCTAATTCTCAGAGGCAGAAATGAAAGATACACTGTCAATTGAGGTGTCTGAAAGTAGGAAAATAGGATACAGAAAAATCAGTTCACAACACTTACAACTTTCATAATAGATTTTTCCCATGCTATTGATTTCTGTAACTGCTGAATGCACAGAGCTACCTGTGCAGCACTGCGGGCTTCTGACAATGCCCTTCTCCATACCCTTAGCCCTGGAGCAATATCCTCTTCCATTCTGCATTGAAATATAGAGAAATTAAGCAGGTCACATCCATTTTCATCAGTTTCTGAACGTGGAACAATCATTGTCACATTGAAAGCCAAGCGATGACAAAAAAAAAAGTACACAGCCAAGTAAGGGTAATAAAGGCTGAAGCAACTAAATTTGATGTAGTGCACAGACTGTGGCTACGTGCCTCAAAAGCTTAGTCACAACCAGTTAAATGTAAGATAAAATTTTTTGCAGGGTTAACATAAGTTAACGGAAAAGAAAACAATAAAACAAAACAAAATCTTTACAAAGCATCATGCATAAATAACGCGACCCGTGTGGATCAGAAGACATACGAGAAGGTACATAGATAAAAAAACACACAATAGAAAATAGGCTCCAATTAGCAAAGAAGCACAATAATTTTTTAAGTTAATCTCAATAACCTACCCGTCACCATCACCACTAACGGATGGTGCAGGAGCAGGGACAGTAACTGTGCCCACATTATCCAGTTTGATCTGAATGGTGGTACTTAAGGGGCTCTTCAGATACCTTCGCTCTATGTTCCGCTCCAAGTCAGCAAGTCTGGTTACTGCTATATCTAGAGGGTTGTCACTCTTCCGCTCTAGAGTACCGCTATTGCCTTCTTCTCCACCAGCACCGTCACCGTCTCGCTTCTTATGCAATTTAGTAACTGACTTATGTTCATAATATACCAGGTCTTCCCTTTCCGATGCTGGCTCGGGGCACATCCAACCCTACATTTTAATAGAAAGGTTTGCACAGGTTTGTTTGCTACTGTAAACACCAACATTTGGACAGTGGGCTTTGAGTTATCCCCTAAATTTAGTCTTTTTTTCCCCTTAAGAAGACTGTAGACATTTTTGCCTAAGAGTGTGTAAGCCTCTCTTTCCCATATGACTTGAACACAGTAATAATAAGCATTTAAACTATGAGTTTTAGAGAAACAATACTGACTTGAAATCCCCCGAGTGTTTCTGCAGATGGAAGAATTCGCGCCCACAGACTGATGTTCTCACCTTCCCTTTCCCACTGCAGCCTGTCTGAGGAAGTCTCTATATTATTAGCTCAATGGTAAGCATGAATGGGTTGGTTCCCAAGACCCATGAGCACAGCTCAAAGACCTTTGCTGCTTTCTCCTTAATACGATAGATCCTTGAGTACCACTTACCTTCCCAAACTATTCCTGAAATTCACTGGGAAGGGGATGAAGTACTAAAGGGGATTCTGGGGAAAAAATGGCCCCCACTATGTGCAGAACCAGAAGTTCCTTTCTATTTTTGTCCTTTACTCCACTTGTTAATTTTATTCCAACTTTTAAAAAATCCATTTAGCATCTCAAAAAAGTCACTAAGAGCTACTTTTTTCTCTTTTTTTTGCAACAAGTAATCATTGCCAAGGCAGTTGGAGGGTAACAGTTGTCCCAGTGAACTTGGTGAAACAGAAAGAGGTGCTGTAGATATGCCTACTCACCCAGTAGGATTTTTGAGTTTAGTCACTAAGAGCTACTTTTTTTTTTTTTTTGCAACAAGTAATCATTGCCAAGGCAGTTGGAGGGTAACAGTTGTCCCAGTGAACTTGGTGAAACAGAAAGAGGTGCTGTAGATATGCCTACTCACCCAGTAGGATTTTTGAGTTCTATATAAGACAAGTGGTTTGTTATGCGACTTGGAAGCACCCATTTGGGGAAAAAACAATCCAAAAGACTAAGGTTTACCTTAGAACTGTGGGAGACACATGTGGATACCTTAGACCATAGGTTCCCCAACCTGTTTCAACCTGTGGGCACCTTTGGAATTCGAACACAGGTTGGTGGGCACAGGCACCAAACGGCTGCAGCAAGAGTACTGCCACCTCAGCTTACTTTCAGTCACACAGTGAAGATCCTTGTGTTGTGGTGGGAGCTGCTGTCAAATGAACATTTTAAAAAATCTGTGCAGCCAATCAAATCTCCAATGGCTGACCAGAAGCCTGGCTAGGCAAAAAGCCCCAACTGGCCCCAGCCACTTTCTAAAAACACTTGGTGGGCGCCAGTAAAGGAGTTGGTGGGTGCCATGGTGAAGAAGAGATTGGATTTATACCCCGCCCTTCCCTACCCGAGGGAGTCTCCGAGCTCCTTTCCCTTCCCCACCCCACAACAGACACCCTTGTGAGGTAGGTGGGGCTGAGAGAGGTCTTTCGAGGACTGCTCTTGAGAGAACATCTGTAAAACAACTTGTAACTGACCCAAGGTCACACCAGCAGCTGCATGTGGAGGAATGGGGAATCAAACCTGGTTCTCCCAAATTAGAGTCTACGCTCCTAACCACTACACCAAACTGGCTCTCCCACGGCCACCACACTGAGGACCCCTGCCTTTGGCCACATCATCACATTCAGCACTCCCTTAACGATTGCTAGAGGCAACCAATTACTGGGAGTGGGGACAGGAAAATGCAGAATGTGGTGATGCCATGCTACATGTTTCTTTTGCTAGAGGTTAATTATGACCTGCTCAGCAACATGTCCCCTATAACTTCTAGTTGGGTTGCTTGCAATGCTGACTCATGTTCCTTCTCTGAAGATTTAACCAAGAGGGAAAAAATGCCTACTACTGTCTACTTTATATACAGATCATTTTTTACAAAAGAGAGGATGAACTCATTTCAGCCTAGGTGATACTACACTTATGAAACCATATTGGCTTTCTTCCCACCCATGATTTTATTGAGAAGGCACTTATCCTTAACTGTGAAAGAGCCACTGTTAACAGCTTTGAGCTTCAGCATTTGCAATGACATTACTGAACAGAGTTGTTGTTGTTTACTGAAGTACGTTTTACCTTGATTTGCAAACTAGCAGATGCCACTCTTCTTTCTAGGTCTTCCACCTGCTGAAGAATAGCAATATCCATCTCCATGGCTTGCTCTTCTGTGGACCAATTCTCCACAATATCTCGTGTTACCTGGTTTTCATCATTTTCCTGTACTTCAATAATTGCAACTGTATTTGGGAATCAGATTGAGTTACTTTAGTACAGGTTTCAATTCAACCAGACTTTGCAAGGTCAGGAATTCTTTTCTCAGGTGAAATGTAATATTACAGTGAGGCCAAGGATGATGAACTGTTTATAACAACAATTTTAAAAAGCCCAAAAATGAAACAGCATTTTGTGGCCTCTGTTATGTCATCCAAGTCAGTAAAGATCAGTTTGGCGTTTAAGAGGCTCCAATGGGTTTATTTTATTTATTTACTTGTTTAATTTATACTCCGCCCTATCCTACGAGTGGCCTCAGGGCAGCTTACAACAACTCATTAACAATAAAAACGATTAAAAAGTTGGAAAAACTTTGTGTGTATGCATCCATGTGTGCACATGCATGCACAGTGTCTTTTTCTTCTTTCCAACAATTTAACGTTACTTGGTTAAAGAAAAAATCTGGGAAGTCATTAATTCTTAGACTCTTCTGGTGAAAAAATTGTATTGATATGACATGTTGGCTCACAGATGGCGTTCTTGAAAAACGGCTACTTCTATGCCACTGCAGTGAGATGTATGTGACATGTCAGTTACATACCATCTTTATTCTTGAGGCAGGCTAGAGTAATATAATCCATATGCTTTTGTATTTGCTTCTGTAAGGCCTTTTCTCGAATTCCCCTGAGATGTAACACTTTAAGCAAAGCTTTTAGGTCCTCTGGGTCAACGATTCTCCACCAGCCAAACTGCATTTCTGAATCAAAACAGTGAGATTTTTTAAAAAAAGAAAGAAACGTTTGAAAAACATCACGTTAATATAAACAATAAAATCTTTGGCCTGTTTCTAAAACCTGATATGTTGGTACACAGGAGAAATGACAGTAGAGCTGACACATTGTTATTTTCCTTTCCTTGTATTCATTTCCACTATCAAAGAGACAAGCCTCTTTTTAAATTTAACAGTAACTTGCCCTTTAAGCAGTGGAAACTCCTGCAGATAAATCAGTTTTATAAATCTCAGGTTCTCCTCAGGATATTGGGGGGGGGGGATTCTGATTATTAAATTCAAATCCAAGTAGTGATAGCTGAAATTCTGAAATTAGAAACAATTATTTTTCCCTACTCCGGAGCACAATGGAAGACAGGAGGGCCTGGTGTCATGTGGTCCATGGGGTCGCGAAGAGTTGGACTTGACTGTGTGACTGAACAGCAGCAACAAAATTTTCCTTGTTGGAAGGAGGTGATACTTACCTTCTGGAATGGGCTTTGGACTAGGATAATCAACTGGTTTGGCTACTTCAACCACTGTACAAGGCGTAGAAGTTTGTTTCTCTACTTGTGGCACTGGTGATTCACTTTTACTGGCTGGAACACTGGGTGTCAAGAATGAATTGCCATTTCCCTCAGACAATCCTAGCCCGGACCCCATAGGAGGCATGGGAGATGGAAATGGAAGATTTGAAGTTATTACTCCAGTAGGCCATCCACAGAACTGAAGTCCCATTACAGGCAATCCTGTCTTCATCTGCTGGACCAAAAGGCATTTTAAAAAATACACGATCATTAGTCCTACTACAACAAGGAAAGCTGAAACCACAAGACAATACTTTCATTTCAAACACTGTATAAAACATACAGGAAGTCTGGGTTAGTAAGCATCTTTAAAAGTTATGACAACTGAATAAAATGAAGAATTAATTGTTTTTTTTTACATTTTCCAGTTTTTTTATATGGGAGTTTTTACCATAGCAACATAAAGTCCATGCTTTAAAAATCCATGATATTTAGAAACATCATTTAACATGTGGGTCAGTAATAGGGTTGCTAACCTCCAGGTAGAGCCTGGAGATCTCCCACATTACAACTGATCTCCAGATCAGAGAGATCAGTTCCCCTGAAAAAAAAAAGGCTGCTTTGAAGGGTGGACTCCATGACATTATGTCCTGCAGTGTTCCCTCTCCTCCCCAGACCCCCCCTGTCCCCGGGCTTCCCTCCCTAATCTCCAGGATCTCCCAACCTGGAACTGGCAGCCCTAGTCAGCAACCTTTTACAATTAAAGAGCAAACTACATCAAAATTCAGAGTAAGAGATCAACAAAAAGCCAGTACAAGAAAGCCCACTTACTTACGTGAAAATATACAGCTTAACATTGCTGTTAATTGGCATGCTGATTAATATGCCATAAAGTTTCCACAGTCCACACAGTGGTTGTTGTGAGTCCTTCGTTTGGAAGTACCCACACATGAGATTTCACAGTTAGTATATCCAGGAACACCATGTATGATTATTTTAGAGCACTGGCATAAAACTGCGTATGGCTTGCTCTTGGATTGCCGGCCACCTCTATCATTTCCCTTTCTCTAAAGCATCTCTTAAGAAGCCCTTTCATCCCATAAAAACATTTTCCTGCCATTCCTTTCACATATTGGTTATTCTAACATTTCACCTACCATTCCAGTGTACCCTAACTTGAAAGGCTTCATTTTCTTTTCTAAAGAACCATATTTGATTCTATACAAGCCATATTTGGCCCTAGGGCCATAGGTTGTTGCCCCCTTGCAAGTATTTGAACAAAGTAAAGAATCTGTCTTTCCACAGACTATATCAGTTTCCAAAACAGTAGACTATATAGTGGTGTTTTGTCATTCAGTTTACAGCAGCTGACTCCTTGGTGGAAACACAGGTTGCTTTCTCATTCACACACCCAACATTACAATAGGTTCCTGCGTGCTGATAACATGCCAAGTTGGTTCTTTACACACATATTATTGTGAGAAGCTATCCCACATGTATAGCCATCCACTCACAGGACAGTGGCCAATAAGATGAAGAGGAGAATGGTGATAGGAAATTCTTGCATATAGAGAAGAAAGGAACGGGGAATATGCAAAGGCTAAGTGGACTGTGTCCTCAGGTTGTATTTCTAAGCACATGAATTAATGTACACTAAAATCAATGCAAGTTACTTCCAGGTAAACACTTTGTATGTTTTTTTTTTTGGTGATCTGCAGTTCTGGAGAATCTGGGCACATGTTTAATCTACGGTTGTCAAGGTGTCCTTGATTTTTAAGGCACTCTGGAAAGGGAAAACAGATAAGGAGAAGATAAACTCCTGCTATTGCTTTGAAAAGTCTGCCACTCCTGCTAAATTTCAGAACAAGGGATGGTCCCTTAACCTGATGGCCAATTTTGGACACAGTCTGTCTCCTCCTGAACACCATTTGCAGTATTATGAATATGATTCAAGCAGGATATAATCCTGTCAAATAACTTTAGATAACATAATATAATAATCCTCTAACCATAGCCAGCATAGTGTAGTGCTGAGAATTTCAGACTAGGAACTTGGAGACTCAGGTCTGAATCCCTACTTAGCTGTGGAAGCTTTCTGGGTGACCTTGAGCTACTCACCCTCACTTAGCCTGACCTACCTCATAGAGTTGCTGTTGGTCTGCTTTACCTGTCTCCCCAATCGGAACCCAAAAAGGTGTACACTGTTATTCTCTCTTTCACTTAATCCTCACAACAACCCTGTGAGGTAGGTAGCTGGCTTGAGGTCACCCAGCAAACTTCCACGGCAGAGCAGGGATCTGAACTTAGGTCTCCCAGATCCTAGTCCAACGTTCTTAACCTCTATATCACTCTGGCTGTTGTGAGGATAAAATGGAGGAGGGGAGTATGATGTCATAAACTGCTTTGGTTCACTGGGGGGCAAGTGATGCTCTCTATTCTTGGTGCTTGGGGGGGGGGACATCTAGTGTCCTGGCCCCACTGGTGGACCTCCTGATGGCACCTGGTATTTTTGGCCCCTGTGTGACAGAGTGCTGGAGTGGATGGGTCATTGGCTTGATCCAACATTGGCTTCTCTTATGTTCTTATCAAAATGACAATAACGACCCTCACCCGACGGGACGTGAAAGCCGGAAGCTGCAGTCCGAAGCAGTGCGCGCCAGAGAAGGAAGCCATCAGAGCCTGCCTAGAGTTGGTCGCCAGCCACCCGGACGCCAGGAACAACGCCTGAAGCCTGCCGATGAGGAGGTAATAGGCCGCAGGGTGCTGCTAGGTAATCCCCTCCCCGTGAATCTGTGGCCCTAGCTAGGTAAACAAACTACGAAAGTAGTACAGTGTAAACCGCTCTGAGACCCATTAGGGGGGTCATGGGCGGTATAGAAATTGGAAATGTAATGTAAAACAATAATATCAAACCATTTAGAATATAAGGTACTGTTCAGTCATCTTTACACCTACACTTTGATGGCCGTCTACACATCTCAAAAATTAAGGAAGAAATAAAGGAATTTTTTGCTGGTACAAAGAAAATAAGATTGGACTTTTTTCAAAATGTAACTGATACTAACCTGAAGGGGTGATAATGTGAAAGGACTCAATCCCATTGGGCTTGGTGAAGAGGCAGAACCAACAAGTGGAGATGGGACAGGCGAAGGTGATTTGGATGGAGGATGAGAATGAGGAGTGAGTGAAGACGCGGCGGCAGCTGGCAGGTCCGTATGGGTAACCGATGTGTCATCACAAGGAGTTCTGGGCAAGAGACTGAACCACTGCCTGCTCTTTTCCGTAAGAGTCTTTAACAGTTGGTCATTTGAAATTAATGGAGCACTGTAAAACTTCCCTGGCCCACTTGCAAGAGGATTAAAGAGATTATTTGGATCGGACTTTTCACTGCTGCTTTGTGATACAGAGGGCTGGTGGCTACAGAGTGAGGTTTTAGAGCTGTTTTGATAAGATAACGAGCACCCATTCGCGGCACTGCCGTTGGCTTTCTGGGATGTAATGTCAGTTTCAGGAGGCATTTTTGCTACCTCCAACAGTTTGCTTAGCTTAGAAAAAGAGCCAGGTTTTTGCAGGAACAGATTCGTGCTGTCCTTTTCTTTGAGATCTTCTTTCTGATCACACTGATTTGGGTTTAAACAGCTTAATTTTTCCTCAGAGGTCTCAAACATCTCTTCTTTGATATGAATGTTTTTGGCCTTTTTCAGCTTCTCTTTTTCTTTTGCAATTTCTTCCAGACCTAGGCACACACACAAACACACATACACACACACACAACAATACCATTACTTAACAAAGCCATAATGAAGCATGTTATGAGAACAACAACAACCTCCACACGCTCATGTGCTCAAGATTTAGAAAATATAGCTGTAAAAATGGGAAGAAATTAGTTGGATTCTCTAAACTGTAAATGGAAACAGATCACTGAATGGATCTTTCCTCCTTTAGCTTGCAGCTTCCAGTGCCCCCCCCAAAAAAAAAGTAGGGACAACCCACACGAACCAGAGTAGGATGTAGCATTGGGGGGGGGGGGCTACAGATAGAAGGGGAAATTGGCAGAAATAATCCCCTGCTTCTTGTACTAGGACTTGTCTTTGAAAAGTTCGTGCAAGAGAAAAGGTTGATTTCTGTCTTTGAAAAGTTCATGCAAGAGGAGAAGGGACTGATTTCTTCTGAAGCCCTCAAACTGAAGCTCTCCCCATGCTGCCTCCCCTTCTGTTCACAAGGTGTCTCCCAATCCTCAGGAGAAGATATTAGAAGATTCAAGAGGCTATAGGAGAGAGGGAGGGAGAAGAGGGAGGCATCCACTCCAAAGGATCTGCTCAGGCACTTAAACCAACAAGCCTAAGGGACCGAAGTAAACACACATATGTATAGCTTTGTTTAGCAGGAAATTGTGAAATTGGCTTTTTAGCAATGTGTTCAGTTTTGGAATGAAAAGGCAATGGCATTTTCCAGATTATCCAGAATGAGGAGACAAACTAAAGTAACAGCAGTCTGCCTTGAGGTGGAGCCACCGTTTCTGAGTGCTATCCCACTTCAAAAGAAATCCCATTGCATGAACTGAGAACATCAAGGAGAGGGCTATGCTGAACCTTTCTCTCTGATGAACTAGTTTACTGAGTAGATAGAAGGCTATTTTGTTCATACAGAAGAGCATAAAAAATTAATGCATGTACATGTACATGCACAGTCTAGAATTCCACCTAACCTTAACCTCATCCTGTCATCTCATTGTATATAATGCATAGAGCACCCCTCTTATTGTGGAGCAGGAAATTCCTTAATTAGCAGAGCACACCCTTCAAAGCCCAGTGAATTCAGCTTGGTTTACCAACCTCAGGGTGGGGCCTAGAGTGCCCCCCCAATGCTGCTCCTAGGGGATGGGAGACCCTCCCCCAGATACAGTATGAGTGGGGAGTCTGAGGTCTACAGAAGAAGGAAGCCACAGTACAAATCAGTTTTTGTATGTGATAATCTAATGTTACTAAAAACTGTCTAGGCTTTAACAATGTCATGTAATTCATGTAATTAATCAATATATTTATGCCCTACTTTTGCAGCCAGATTGGCTCCCAAAGCAGCTTGAAGTTGAAACCTATCACAATTTTAATTAAAGTCAGATGCACAGTTCCACTGGGTTTCTATTTTTCCCTACTATGCCAAGGAAACTGCGTCAAATAATGGAGTGTTTCTTAGGCAGAATACTGAGAAGCTTTGATTGTCAATCATTAGAGTAAAGGTGGAGGTTTTAATTCTCCACTCTAGTCTCCACCGTATAACTTTTGGTGGTTTTTAAAAGCTGGGTCCTATGTTGTCCCTGCCTGTTGATAAGGATTTCCTTCTGGAAGGGAGCCTCCACAGATCTGATGCAATTAATTTAAATCTGATTTAATTTAATAAAATTAGGCTGTTTTAATTTTTTTAATCTGTGGTCATTCAGAATATCTGGTCATTATATAGTAACTATAAATCTGAATATACAGGCAAATAGATAATTGCCTCCATCCAGTTCAAGTAACATGGTTACATGTCTAATTCTGTCAGAATGTGGCTAGGCAGTTGCACCCAAATGCATATATCAATTCAGTGCAGATGGCCAATGTTATGAGAACAATTCAGTGCGGATGGCCAGTGACTTGGATCACTTTGATGGAAAGATGCCTACCACTGCAGCCCAAAATGACCCCCATGGTACTCCTGGGGGACAGGAGACCCCCGGGAACACTATGAGGGGGGAAACAGCAGAAGAAGGAAAAAATCAGCAAAATCAGCCTCCCTAACATCAGTGGAAATGTTAGGCATGAATCAACCCAACAATCCTATTTGCACTTGTGGCTCCTAAGAAGACGACCCATGTGTAGAAGGTGCTTCCATACTTCTCTCAACTAGGGTACTTTAAGTATGTTGAAATGCAAACCATCAGAACAATATTAGCCACCTGTTTAACAAACAAAGGTTTTATCTTTCAGAGAAGAGGGGAGAGTTCTTGTTTTAACTCAGTTCCCACATTTTCTATTAGGATGTGTCAACAAAAAATTAATAAAAAATTGTCACAAAGAACAAAAGAAAACAGACAGTAGCAGAGAAGGGAGAAGACTGCAGGGACAGCAAGTGCTCTGCATGGCAGCCATTTGTTTGCTTAGTTTCCACATCACTTAGTGCAGCTGCATAATTACAGATAAGCAGAGGTCAGTGTTTATGGTTGTGACTGCTAGCACCTGCACGGGTGTTTGCAGTTTCTACAAAATCTGAATTAATTTCCAAAAGGGAGGGAGAATAGTACTGTCCTAATTTTCTGATTACCCTTCTCAGAAATTTTGGAAAGGTTCACCTTTGCGGTGATGTTACATTTGGACATTAGTAACAGAGTTCAGAAAAATTGTGAGAGGTACATATCTCACAAAGCTGAATGTGGGTGGGCAGTACATTCACCTTTATTCCCTACTGCAGTCCCTACCACATTCTAATCATTGTACCTGGCAGAGAGTCAACCTCCACTTTTAAATCAGTAATTTAAAGAAGTGTCTCCGCCCCACAAAATGTTCCTTGTGATGTCTGCCCAGATTGTCACACTAAAACCATTGCCCCCTGGAAGTACAGATGACTTGCAAAAAGGTCACTCAGAGACTATCTCAGTCTGTTATTTCAAGCTGCCATTTTGCTGAAGTCATCCCTGCCAGTGTTAACCCCACTGCTTCATTCTGCAATCCAGAGAAGGCTCATAAGATCCAGAAGTGTTCCATTCTAAGGTCAGCAATCTTTCCTAACAGCGTCATGCAGGGATCAGCCCACAATTTAGATTTATCCTTCTCAGTTCTCTATTGAAAGAATTTCTCAATACCAAAAACAAAACAACAAAAACCTCACCCCTCCAGTGAAAAACCCTCAAAATCAAAGCTTGTAAGAAGCCTAGAAATGACTGAATCATTCCTATGACTACCTCATTACCTTCTCCACTTTCCATGCCTTCAACAAAAATACCCCCACATTGTGGCAGAATCCAGTATCGACGTCTGTAACGATCCTGGCCGAACATCATTGAACGTAAAGAGTGAGATGCTTCAAATAACTTTCTTCTGTATTGGTTTTGTTGCTGTTTGGTTGTAAAGAAATGCATTGTTATAATGTGTTCTATCACCCTCACCCCTCAATTTTTTCTTCATTATTTATTGATCAGTTAGATTTATATCCTGTTCTATCATGGGGACTGCCAGCATCTTACAGCAGTTCTTGAAGTTTGTTTCTTTTAAGGCCAGATTTATAAACATGACCTTTTATAGAACCAAAATATAAAACAAGTGCAGTTGTTGTTGTTTTTTTAAAAAAACAACCACTAAAACAAAACCCTTAAAAAACTAATGCTAAGGTATTTGGTGGTTCAATGGAGACTTTCTAGACATATTAGCTGTTTCAACAGAAAGGTCTCATTTGTCTCTGCCAATACCCTTGAGACAAAGAGCCAGATTGGTTATAGAATATCACAGTTGATGGATTTGAGCCACCTTAAACATTTCATTTTCTCTTAAAGGGTGCATTCTGCAATGCTGTCTCCTATATTTTTGGTACCAAATTTGCAGAGGAGAAAGGGATCAATAGTTTCCATTGCATGACAAGAGATGAAATCTTATCAATTATGCAGCACAGCAAATGGCATACGTAGTTATAAACTAGCCAGGCCACAAGAGATATTGTAGCTTATGATGGGAAATTAATGAGATAGTCTAACTGTCTTTGAGAGAAAATCATGTTTAGTATTATCTCTTGGAGAAACACACACACACATAAATTTAGGTCATGCCTGCACATTTGTGCTGTGATGATGTGTTGTCATGCTCTTGCCTTCTGTTGCACTGCACTGCAATGACTGACTGCAATCATTCTGCACTGCAATGACTGACGAGCGACAATCACCCATCAATGGAATACGTGAGCTGGAAGCAAGATGCATCAGAAAATGCAGTTCACTTGAGTTTGCTAACTTCAGGTTGGGAAATTGCTAGCGAATCAGAGGTGGGAAGGAACCACAGTGGGGTATAATGTCACAGAGTCCATCCTCCAAAGCAGCCATTTTCACCAGAGGAACTGATTATGTAGTCCAGAGATCCACTGTAATTCTGGAAAATCTCCAGGGCCCACCTGGAATTTGGCAGCCTGACTTGAGATGGGTGGTACATTTGGTCCTGTCAATGTGCGGGAGGGCAGGTGGAGCTTTAAGCGGTGGGGGGGGGGTAGCAACAGAGATTTTATGAAGGATGCATAGTTGAAACAGGACTTTCAGACAGTCGTCCCATTTCCTGACAAACCACCCATTACTCTGTAAATCCGTATCTCTCAATGCCTTTGTGGGGAGCTCCACAGTGCAATCCTGTACAGTTACTCCAGTCTAAACCCATGGATTTAGACAAGAATAACTCTGCACAGGATTGCACTGCCAGATACAGATTGACCATGCGATGTGTGGTTTGACCCTTATTTTGGGGGTGGGTGGGTTTCCAATTGTGTTTTACCACAGCCCAGAATGAGAAACGATTCCCTTCAGTTTTCAAAAACAGTCTGCAAGGCAGCATATGGAATCTGCTCTTCACAAAATAATGAAAGTCCACGTTTATTTATCTGAAATGTTTTACCTACTTTTCCTGTGATTTGCAGGAGAAGGATTTAAAGATGGACTCTAAGAATTCAAATCATAGTTCATTTGACCATGTCCAAATATTAAACACTTGTTCATCTTTGGTTAGTTCCAGTAGTGCCAGGGCTATCTCCACCTTCTCAAGTTTCAAGACCCTCAAGTCACACAAGGCCTGTACCAATCCCCAGCAGCCCACACAGTGGTTTAGGATGTTAGCAAAGTCACACAATCCAAACAAGATTATAGAGTGGTACTGTGCACTTTGGACCCCTTTACTGTAGTGCTCTTTGCATTCTTCTAGCTTAGTGCTAACAGTCCCAGAGTTCATACCCTTTAAGTCCACGGACTTCAACATACTTAGAAGGGTGTAACTCTGTTTAGGACTCCTGCACTCGTATTGTTTTTCAGAGGTTCAGTAAAATTAGGCTCAGCACCCCTTGAAGCAAAAAAAGTCAAAATGGCACAACCATCTCTTTACTTGTCCTTTCCCAGAAACTGAAGCCCCTTTGTTGCTTTTGTTTGCTTCACCTGTAAAGCTGGCCCGCTACAGGCAAGTCCAATAAATTTGAGTGAATACTAAAACACCTATTTAAAAACAGGGGGGGGGGGGGAGAGAATAAACTACAATCTAAATTGACACATACCTAAATAAAAAAGATTTAGATATAATAGAGGCATCTTACCTTAGTCAGCTTGTCAATTTGTTTCTCTAGTTCCTCCACACTTGCTGTCTGGTCCCCATCATCCTACCACCAATAAACAAAATACAGTGGTTGCATTATTCTCTAGAGGTTGATTACACTCCTTATAAACTACTAATGCTATCACAACTTTATGCCTTGTAAATTAATAAAACATAGCAAAAGTCATGTATTGGTTGTGAAATCTGGAACCCTGACATTTTTTTATCTGTGCAATGCAAACCCAGATTCACTTAACTGAGCACAGGGACAGAACCCAAGCAGAACTATTCCAAGGACATGAAAATACAAAAACCTCCAACCTCACCAGCCTGTGGTATTCTTACAAGCAGTTTGCCCCACAGCTACACACTATAGCTGTTGGCCAGGATTAAGGATAGCATTCTGTATGCAGGGATTTGGCAACTTCTTTTCCTTTTCCTCTTTATTAAAGAAACTTATTCATTCCCTGCACATAGGGTTGCATGCCCCCCACCCCCCAGTGGAGGCAGGAAATGTCCTATCCCCAGTATTTGTTTCGCACTATTGTTGGGCCAATGGTGTGATGTCATTTCCAAGAAAACCTGAAAGTGACACCAGCCCACTTTAGGGATCACCAGGGACTATATAGTTTTACCATAGAGTTTCTGCTGATTCCTCGAAGAGGCATGATGTTACTTCTGGGTTTCACACCACCACCAATGGCTGCCCCCCATGTCCCTGCCTTCCTGTCTCCTGCTGGTTGCCAGGACATGGCAACCAAGGTTCCCTTTAAGCTGCACCAGTCTGTGCAGGCCCTTTTTTCATGCCCTCCCTTTCCTATTTCTCTCTTTCTTTCCACCTGGCCAGTCCCTGTTGGCTTCCCCATGCCTGGTCGCCAGAGCCGCGCTACTCCCTCTCTTCCCAACCCAGTGCCAAGGAGGAGGGGGTTTTCAGGGGGGGAATGGAGGAGGCTTTGCATTGGGGGGAAAGGGGGGTAGGATAGTGCCTCTTTGGGACAGTGCGCTTATTCACCTGCACCCTTGCAGCCTTACTTTTCTTCCTTCCTTCCTTTTCTTTCTTTTTTCTTTATTCCACCCACCAAGCCCCATCTGCTTCATCTCAGTCTCCCCTCCTCACAGATAAAAAAGTTCTTTTATGCCCTCCCATTCCTATTTCTCTCTCTCTCTTTCCACCTCTCTTTTTCCACCTAGCTTTTACTTTCTTTCCACCTATCTTTCTCTCTTTCTTTCCACTTCTCTCTTGTTCCACCTCTCACTCTCTTCCTTTCCATCTCCTCTCTATTTCCACCTCTCTCTCTTTCTTTTCACCTCTCTTTCTTTCCACCTCTGTTTCTTCCTTATTTCTTTCTTTCCTCCTTTCTTTCCACCTCTTGTTCTTTCTGTCTTTCCTTCCTTCTTTCTACCACTTTCTTTCCACCCCTTTATTTCCTTCTTTCCTCCTCTTTTTCTTTCTTTCCTCCTCTTGTTCTTTCTGTCTTTCCTTCCTTCTTTCTACCACTTTCTTTCCACCCCTTCCTTTCTTTCTTTCTTTCTTTCCACCCCTTCCTTCCTTCCTTCCTTCCTTCCTTCCTTCCTTCCTTCCTTTCTTTCTTATGTTGTTCTCCATTCTGACATTTTATCTTTATAAAACCCTGTGAGGTAGGTCATCCAGAAAGTTTCTGCGGTAGAGTGGGGAATCAAACCTGTGTCTCCCAGAACCTAATCCAGTGCTCTGACCACTACACCACACTGACTACACACAGGTGGTTCTAAATCCACACTGGCTAAGTTTATGGGAGGCACGTAAACTGATGCACTGATACTAGTTGCCTATTGGGTATCTGAAATGGGACAGACACAGATGTTTTTCAAGAATGTTGAGGCAGTTTTCCTCTAGTATAGATACTTCCTCCATACTATATAGTACCTTTTTCTTGCTTTTATTGGACAAGACTGCCCCTATTCACCCTCCCACATCAAGGTCTGGAAGTTATATTTACCCTTTTCAAGTTCAAAATAAAAATAAAATAATGAGTCTTGGGGTTCATTATAACGGGATGTATGTTCAAATAGAAGACTTTGTAAAACTATAACCTCTTCTAAATAGCAAACTTGATAGCCTCAGACATATCTGTAGGGTGGTGTAGGGGCATCTCACAAACAAGTTCCTCTCCAAGTATGCAGAAAAACTATTAGTTTGTATATTTTATCAAAAGAAGCACACACACACACAAAATAGTTTGATGACAACATAATTTTTGTCCTACAGGAGCCATAGAATATCTAGGGTAGTTGAATGTCAACATAGGAAAACAGAGAGGGTGGGGGATGAAATTAGTCTGCTTGAGCCCCAAAGAGTTCTAATATCCAGGAAGGTTTGTTCATTATGGATGGAATTTCCCAATTCTCTGCCTCCTACTGTGATCATTTTTGTCACCAACAGAAATTCAACCTAAATGTATAGATTAACTATGTGAGGTAGATAAATATTAGAATCCCCGTACCTCATCTTCACAAATATCTGCTTTCTTTCCCTTTTTGTCATCCTTGTCCTCCTCATCCTCGTCATCTTCATCGGCTTGATCATCACTATAATCATCATCGTCGTCATCATAATCGCTGTCCCCTCCCTTCCGCCTCCTTTTTCGGCCTGGTGTGGGTGTACCCAGTGAATGCTGCTCTTCTCCTATGTCACCTCCTCCAGAAATATCTCTTTTGCCTGTTTTCTTAGCATGAATTATTCTAAGCCTATAAACACATGGTAGGCAAATGGTATTACTGAATGTTTGCCATAACATGCAAAAAGCTCCTCTTGCTAGGATTGCCAGCCCTGGGTTGGAAAATTCCTGGAGATACGGGGGTGAGGGTTGGGGAGGGTGGAGGTTTGGGGATGGCAGGGAGCTCAGCAGAGAGTCTGCCTTCTGACACTGCCATTTTCCCCAGGGGAACTGATTTCCATAGTCTGGAGATCAGTTGTAATTCTGTGAGAGCTCTAGTCCTCACCTTTAGGTTGGTAAGCCTATCCTCCGCACATCTCTGAAAACAAATCATATCCTTCCAGCTTCCATTATTCAGCAATTGTCTGCTACCTTGGTTTTGTTACCCTTGACTCAGTATGTGAGAACTACCATTCAACTAACACTGGTTTCTATTTGCCATGAATATTTGGTGAAAATAAATTCTGTTTGTTATGAATGTTCAGGTTTGGGTAGACTTACAACTCTTCAAAACATATGTAATCTTTCAGCAAATATTATTGGACTGGAATGAATTCTATTGAACATAACTAAAGCCCCATATAAAACATCTTAAAGACAAAAGAAGATATCAGTAGCTATTCTGTAAACTCAAGAAATACCTATTAATCCGTTTCACATTCTGGTCACTTTTGAATTCTCGATAATCTACTTTTCCCATTCACGTTTTTAAGTCTCAGTGTCTACCCTTTGCATCTAAAGACCCAAGAGGTGAGAAAATTGATTTACAAAGGGGACAATAAACTGAAACACTTGATCCTGGATTATCCCAGTACAACTCTTTTCTTTGTATTTCATTTTATGGGATATTTTATTGAACATTATGCAGGAGGTTTGGAAGCATTGTGGGCAACATATACCTTAGTTTCATTTTTTTAATGAAACGAAAGAAACTTACATACCAGTAAGTACAGTTGTAGTAGCCCTTCCTCATCTCTTATACCCTACAAAAGAAGATTCCATACAGCAGATGTTACAGCTCTACCTACCAGGAATCTAGCAGGCAAATATATTGAAACAACCTAGGAGGTATCGCAATAGCCAGGCTCAATACCCCTTTTTAATATTCTGACATACCAAAAAATGAAGAGATATGAAACTGTATCTGGAAAGGAAAAAGACTTTACAAGGAAGAAAAAGGAGGAAGAAAGAGTGCGAATTAGGATGGTAGAAGTAGAAAAATTACAGTAAACCAATGCTGCTATGTAATTTTTCAGTGTCTTATTCTTCCTTTCTTCTCCCATCTTACAAAACAGTATTCCATACAGCAAGTGGATAAGAGGCAGTGTAGGCATCTTCTTTAAAAAGCAGCCTTGGGAAAGTCTTTGATTAAAAGAAGAAACTGGATTTTAGGATGCTCATCAGACTACAGAGAGAGAAAGGGACGAGGATGAGCAGGTATTCCTAGCTGACCTCTATTAATAATCTGTGCCTCTGCCCTTCCAATACAAAAGACAAAATGTGTTTAAGACTTGACAGAGAACATGGTAGAATAAAACTGAATCAGGTATAAAACTCTTTAAAATATGTTCCATGTGTCAAGAAACAAAATGATTGTGTATGCCTGATTTCTAAACGTCTGCATCACTGCTTTTGTTTACTGCAAAAATGGCTGAATTAGTAATCTGTAATGGCATAGCAGCTAGGCTTAGAACACTACAGTCTAACAATAATGTCCTGGGGGAAAATCCTAGGACTGGGTAGTTAGACTGAGAAAAATTCTACAACTCAATTTAAGTAGAATTGGAGACGGGGGAAAAGGGGGGGGATACTCTGCAGTCAGGAAAATTTCCTGTACCTTTGGGTGCTTTCTTCACACAGGGGGGAGAAAACAGATGAATAAGCAAACATATGGACTCCAAAGTCATCGTTAATGGTGCAATACTAACCAGAGTTGCACCTCTCTAAGTCTACAGAAGGCAATGGGCTTGGAAGATTGTACCTCTGTTTAGGATGGCATTGCAACTCCCACTGACAACCATTTAGTGCTTTGCACTAGCTGCTCATTTGGCTTTCCAGAAACATGCAGGCGTTTGTCTAGAAACTACAGCTAATCAAGAACTGTAGCCGGTGTATTTAACTTTCCTGATGACAAAACTACAAGAAACAGCTATAAATAAAATTCTGCCAGAATATTTTTGTTTGTTACCAGTCACATTATTGAAGTTTCTCAGCCTCCCTAAACTTGAGCTGAAGGACGGCAGGGATATCTACACAGTGCCCCAACAATGTTCACTAAGAAAAGAGACAGCCAATCTCTTAATTGATTTCATAAACAATGCTGCAGGATATATGAATTAAGAACTTCTGACATCTTTAGCAAAATGTAAATTGTCCCCAATACTGAAAACTATTGTCATAATGAGAGAAGTCCAATAGACTCATATTTCCTTCTAATATAGTCAAGCTCATTAGTCTTGCTTACTAGAGCAGGATGGCCTTGGAGTTCCTTCGTAACCCCATTATAAGAGGGGGTCCTTCCTGTTACCTGCCTTCCAACTGCGAAAGAGGCAGTATAGTGACTGAGTGAACTTGGTCTAGCCACTAAGACAATTCTACCTCCGTAGGCCTGGATGCAGGCAATCACTTTGTTACCTGGAGCCTCTTGGAGGTTAAAAGAAAATGCAATAAGTCAAGCAATCAGTAAATGTATCCAAGAGATACATACAATGTGTGCATCTGCCTAATGTGTAAACAGAAATAATTCTGGTCTTCCAGTCAGTTGCTGTTGGCCTCTGTATCACGTTATGGTGAGAGAGCTATGGTATTTAAATAATTAAATATAAAAGATGTATACAGAGTTCTGTTTAAAACAAATATAGGGTGGTTACATTGCATGAGAGAGAGAGAGAACGAGAGAGCATGCTATGGTAGTACCTTTTAGACATCCTTTCCTTACTGAAGTAAGAGCCAAGGCACCTTTTAGAGAAAGTTTTAGAAAAAGGAAGACTGAAAGGTGCAAATGGAGCACCAGAAAATCTAGGACCTGATTAAGACACTTCTCAGAAGGGTAATGCTGCTTGAAGGCTTAGCAATGGAAGTGCTTCATGCAGTGCAACTGCTGTGTAGAACACTTACTGACACACATAAAACTGGTGACCATGAGATAAACCAATTTCTGTGGCCTAGAAAAATTTCCTGTTGAGTAAGTAGGAGTCCTCAGCTAGTCAAAATGAAATTTATGAAAGGATGGACAAGGAGAAAGTAATCAGGTTTATCAGACATGATGACAGTAGGAAGGGAAACTGAGAAGAGTAACCGAGGAAAAAGATTTAGAAAAGAAAAGGAATCCTGTTTATTTAAAACTGCTTGCCAACTTCTTGCAAGAAGAGCCAGGGAAGAGCTTTAAAGAAAAAAGACGCGAACAAACCCCAAAATCTACTACTTACATTTTCTGAAAGGGCAGGAGAGAGTAGACTGACTTGCCCCTGAGGCAAGAGGCAGCAAACAGGCATCTGCCGGTAGAGGCAGCATCAAAAATTTTCATTAGCCCTTTGACAGAATAGATTATGTATAGTATTCTATATAGGAAGCTAAATTGTTGGAGGTGCCTCACAAATACAGTCGTTAACCCTGCATAATTTAGGAGCCAGTAGTGTTAATAGCATTAAAATAGGTTTTTCTTCCTGCAATTTCTTTTAATTGTCTTTTGATTTCTTCTGTCTCCTTCTTGTTGTTCATCTTTACTTCTTCCTTCTGAGATACATTAGATAGATAGGTGGGAGGGAGAAACAGGATTAGAAACACAAGTATCTGAAGCAAAGGGCCCAGTAAGGACTCTTTCCTTTGCTAGACAAGAGAGAAACATGATTTGAAGAGAAGGAAATGGAGCCTTACTATGCATACCACCTGGCTACACATACCTCCTATGATTCACAGTAATTTCAACTTAAATTTCTATGGTAGATAGAGCCATTATACTTGCTGTATGGAATTTTATTTTGTACAATGGAAAAAAATAGGGGATGTAAAATTACATTCATTAAAAACTTGACAGTTTGCTCCATGGCAAACTGATGAGATTTACCTCACTGAATCATTCCCCCAGATCTACCACAGGAAATATTTAGTTTATACAGCCAACTCTGAGGTATTTTAATTAGATATCTTAGTTGTCTGAAAGTTTTTTAATGTAATTAGAGCAGAAAAATCTCAGCCTGAAAAATCTCCTTTCAGAATGATGCTAAAGTAAGTATGATAGTTGCAACCAGCTTTGACTAGCGCCAATTATAATTTGACAGCTCCAGAAATATTCAAATAAAAATTGGTCTTTTTTCACAGCATGCAAAATGACTTTCCTCCAGTTTGGAGTCCTATAAATTTCATATATCTTTAATGGATTTTCAGCAAGAAATCATGGGTCTTTAAAAATAATTTTCCATATTTACAGGAAATAAAAGTCACTTATAGTACTTGCTTTTATATGTCTTGTTTTTGCTTTTGAACCAATCATTATAACAAATGTAAAACACTGAAACAGTTAAAAGAAATATCACTTACTTTCGAAGTTTGCCTTCAACCATCCACTTATCTCTCCTTAAATTAGACATATAATCTATGTTTTTATCAATTTCACTGTAAAAGTAGAAAAAGCTCCAATGTTTAGGTCATTCATTGACTAAAGTTTTCTAAAACAAAATGTCTGAAGAGTACCTCTATTTGCATATATGCCTGATGCATATTATATATGTGACAACATAAATAAAGTAATTCAGTGGGGGCATGATCACCTCATAGTGTTCTCTAAAACAGAAATCTTTGGAGAATTACTGCTGATGGATGATACCAAAGGAAAATTCAGGCAGCTGTGATGGCCTGAAGCAACAGAACAAAGTTTGAGTCCAGTGGCACCTTTAAGACCAACAAAGTTTAATTCTGGGTATAAGCTTTCGTGGGCATGCACACTTTGTGCATGCCCACGAAAGCTTATACTCAGAATTAAACTTTGTTGCCCTTAAAGGTGCCACTGGACTCAAACTTTGTACCAAAGGAAAATGTAAGCAGCCCACTACAGGAAGTTCAAATATTCAAATATTGAAGTACACATTCAAAATGTATCTCTGATTAATTCTGAATGCACTGAAATAACTGAAAATGAAGCTGCCCTATACTGAATCAGGCCATCAAGGGCAATACTGTCGACTCAGACTGGCAGTGGCTCACCATGATTTCCAGTAGAGGTCTTTCACATCATCTACTACCACCAGTCTTTTTAGCTAAAAATGCCAGAAGTTGAACCTGTAACTGTCTACATGACAAGCAGACCCTCTAACACTAAGCCACAGCCCCTTCCATAGTTGTATACAGTGTTCCCTCTAAGCTGAGTTATTGTGAGCTAGCTCAGTTTTTTAGCCTCCAGCTCATACATTTTTGCCTTAGCTCAGGAAGGATGGCTCCAGAGCAAACTAATTGATGCGGTAGCCAAATCACTTGCTCACAACTTTAATGCCAGTAGCTCACAAAGTAGAATGTTTGCTCACAAGATTCCACAACTTAGAGGGAACATTATACGTTATTAAACAAAACATTGAAAAGGGATGGATCCACATTATATGTTATTAATGTTTGTAAGCCACGTTGTTTTGAAGAAGTGGGAAATAAACAAAACATTGAAAAGGGATGGATCCTGTGACTGTCTTCTGCTAAGCGACAACTCTTGCTGCAGGGATGGAGTCTTAGGATCCAGTCACCTAATGAACCATTCATTATTATTTTTACAGTGATCAGCTCT